ATTGTGTCCTAAAACATTGTCCCTTTGCTCATGACACTAAGCGTTTCTGGATGCGAATATTCAAAAGGTAAAATTAATCCTGGTCTCATAGAAAGAAATTTATTATCAAAAAATTTCATAAAATTTATAAAATATTTTCAAGTCTCAAATCTTACATATTGATTAAAAGTATTTATAACTGGACAACAATTATTTATAACTTATTGCAAGTTGTAAATGATTGTTGTCCAATTATAAATATCCTTAATTAAGTTATTAATATATATGATTTAAAATTTAAAAATATTTTATAAATTTTATAGAATCTTTTAATAATAAATTTTTTTTTTTTGTAAAATTTGGATATACTTTTCTCATCAAAACTGCCTATTGTTCAAGCCTATATTGCGAGAACACTGCCTAACTTTAGGTCAAAAGCTTAAGATGCGACAAGACATCCTTTTTTTTTCTTATTTGCCGGCAAACACCAAATCATCTCGGAGATTTCAGGTGTTGAAAACCCTGGGAGATAAATTGGATAGTCTATCATATGGGGGCAGATCCAAGAATGCAGCTTTTGCTTATATGCTTGACAAAGTTGGTAGGAAAATGCAAGGATGGAAGAGGAAGCTTCTATCTTCTTCAGGAAGGGAAGTTATGATTAAGGCAGTGGTAAATGCAGTTCTTATTTTCTCGAACTTGATCGGTTAGTGACAATTTTTTTTCTGGAGAAATAAGGAGAGTGGTGGGGGTATTCATTTGAAGGCTATGACTTATCTAAATTTGCCGTAGTGTGAGGGTGGACTATGTTTAATGAAAGCTCTTTTAACAAAGACTGCTCGGAGGGTCTTGGAACAACCTAATAGTTGTAATTATTGTGAGTATATCAAAAGAAGTCTCATATTACTTGTATGAGTAAAGCTCTAAGTGTATATGTGTATTAAGAAATGAAAGTGGGTAGGTAAATGGATTTGAAGGAAAGGTGAATTCATGCAAATGCAATTACTCCCGTGCAAGGTAAAGTGGTGTTAGACTGGGCATTTTTTCTAAAGTTTTAGAAACTATTATGTAGAGTTACAAATTATTTGTATAAAATAGTTTTCAAGAAATTTTTCCTTGCTTTTGAAATATGTGGAGGATTGTTAAATATTATAAAATATTTTTAGTATTTCAAAAGGAGTTACTATAAATGAATATTAATTACCATAACCTCCAATTTAAATATATTTATTTACCTCTTTATTTTCTATAATCGACTTTTAATTGTGATTAACGTGGTTGTATTGCTTAGTACTTTGAGTACTCTATGTATAAAATGTTAGAAGATGGCCTTTCTTTTCTCCTCTTCATTAGTGCTGGTATAATAACCTGAGTTTATATTATGCAAATTTTCATTGTTCTATGTTCTTACTTTTTGTATGAAGAGTTTGTTTAATTCTAAAGAACTGTATCTGATCAACTCGATGTGAAGGAATAGATTTTAAGGATAGTGTTTTTGGGCACAACTCAAATGATGATTTTAATCATTATTGCCAACAATAGTATGCAGGTTCAAGTATTAAAGAGTACTTACTTTTCAAATTGTTCTTTCCTTGGAGCAAACAAGGGGCATAGAGCGTCCTAGATTTGGGATATCATATTGATTGGGTAAGATTTGATAAAGCTAATAATATGAGTTGAGCTCGCGGACTTAACCCATTAACCCGCTTTGGGTTGGCAGATTAGCAGGAATATAACCCGTCAAGAATGTAGGTTATGACAACCCGCTTCGTCAAACCTACAACCTACAGACTAGCTCACTAGCCTATATTATCAGCTCTAGGATTTGATGGTGAAAAACCTCTATTGGCAAGTGGGGAATGGCATTTACATTCAGGTTTGGAAGGACCTGTGGATCCCTGATGCCCCTGATCGAAAGCTCAGACCAAAAGCAAATGCTATGGCTGATGAATCATTGACAGTTGCCTGGTCGCTGGGATCTATCGAGGATTTGGGATCAAGCTGAAGATCACATGCTTCAATTGATTAACAATATTGAACATCTCTTCTTTCAATATTGATCACCTACTTCTGGGACTGACAGACTGGGCGTTGGGTGATTAGTGAAGCTTCTCACCTTTTATTTCTTTTTGTTTGTGCTCTGTTATTTTTTTTCCTCTTTGGTTTTAGTTTTGCTTATCTTTGTTTTTCGGCTTTGCTGATACGTTGTTATGGTCCCTTTTGATTTGGTTATGGAATGCATATTCTGTTAGTCAAAAAAATGCGACTGGGTTAAGCATTTAAGCAAGCGTGGTTTGGTAGTCAACTTGGTCTACAAGTGGAGGCTGAATGTGTTAATTCTATTCAGTTGTGGTTCGGTAACATATTATGTAACATGTTAAGCAGTCATTCCCCTGTTGACCAAACTTGGGAAGGCTTATATTTGGCTTTCTTTTGCCGGCATATATATGTAAAATGCTGTTTATGGCTTTATTTGCTATATTTGTTTCTGTTGCTTTATTTGGTTCTTCATTCTAGTTCATTGCTCTACTTTGGAGCTCTGACTCCGTTTACTTTATTGAATGAATTCCTTCCTCTCTGGCCAAAAAAATATATAATCATTTAATAAAAATATAAAAGTTTTTAATTTTATTTTTTTAAAAAAATAAAGGATTTTAACATTTAGGGATTAAAAAAATTTTAATTAATCAAATTATAAGAGATTAATTAAAATAAAATTAAGGGAGAATCAAATTGAAGGACCTCGCAAGAGAATTATTCATAAACAAAAATCAATATGAAATTGTTTGTTATTACAATGGTAATAAGAATTTGTTTTTTTTTTTCCCTTCCTCAAATGGTGATTTGTTGTTGGTCATTGCCTATAAATAATTTTTTTTTTAAAAGATCCTTAGATATAATTCTTCCTAAAATAAATTGTAGGGACTTAATTTAAAATTAAAAAAAAATATAAGAGTCTACATATATATTTTCCCTCTCGCATCTCTGCATATTATTTCTCTTTACAATATTTGGAGGAAAAAGTTTGTTAAACAAGATAGGGGTGATTGATTAGAAAAAAGTCACAAAATCATCAATCTTCCATATTCGTCGTTTTCCTTTTGGCTAGGAACCCATCATATTTTTTCCTTTTCTAAGAAGTAGCACAATGGCTTGTAAAAAGTATTAAAATAAATTCAGAACACACAAAAACTCTGTATGAAAAATATCTTTTTTTTTTAATTGAGAAAATTTTTCTTTTTATTTTTTCATTGATTTTAAATTTCTTATGCATAAGTTTAATGTTTATAATTATATTTCTCTATATAATATAAATGATTTTAATTTAATCATTTTCATTATTATATATATATATATATGTAAGTTAAATTTTTTATTTACTTTTTTAACCTCTTAGTAAAATAAATAATTTATATTTAAAATTTATATAATTCCAAGCATAATCAAATAAAATAAAATATTAACAAAATTAAAAGGGGTGTAATTAAATTGAAACTGCTGTAGGTAACAGATTTGTTTTTAATTTTGATTCAATTTTTTCTATCACAGGAAAAAGTTTTTCAGGAAAAAGATGTACTAACTCACTCCATAGAAAAGAGGTAAACCAAACAATTTATGCTGATGTCTTTTAGTGGAAAATCTGATCCAATCATCCAACAAAATTTGTTTGGTTTGTTTTTGTTTTGTTTTGACTATTTCAAGTCAATACATCTTTTTTCCCAAGACTAATCTAAATTTTCTAAGGAACTAGAAAAATCTTCTTGCAGGCTGGCCAAAAAAAGAAAAAGAAAATCTTCTTGCAGTAAGCAATGGATTTTGTAAAAATAAAATAAAATAAAATAAAATAAAAAATCTATCATGACAAGTTAGATAATAAGAAAAATTATAAAATATCATTTCCAAGGAGTTACTCTTTGACTTGCATTCAGAAGGTTTCCAATCCATTCTTAGAAGACTTGTACCATTTTTACTCTTTCTTTCTACAGGCTACCAGGGAAATAATCTATCTAATTTGTCATTATATTTATTTATTTTTATTTATTCAAGTTTGATTTCTTTGTCATCAGAAAATTTTTATATGTGACCTGCCTGTAGACTTTTCATCCACGAAAGCAAAACAATAATTTAAATTTCCCTCAAATCCCAGGTATCTCGCAAGTTTTATCAATAGACTGGGACTATGGAAACTGTCAATTAGGTCGTAGAATACAAACCTAATTATAGGCTAAGTTTCTTTTATCAATTTTTTAACATCAATTAAAATTTAAAATTCAGACCGTTACCTTTTGAGAAGTATCAATTGTAAAAATGACAGTTATGAACGTCGTATTTGCCCTTGTTTTAGAATTGTAACTAGAATGCAGTTATTACTTTTTACAATGATTAAAATGGAATAGAAAATTAAAAGTGGTTCTGTGCAAATTTTTTATTAGTGAAATCTATAACTAAAAATCAATTATTATTTTCGTTCGAGAATGACTAGTTTTCTTAAAAAAATGATTGTAACAGAATATCAAACTATAAGTTGTTCAGTGCAAATTTTTTTTATTTGAGAAGTCTTAACAACTAAAAATTAGTTACTATTTTTTTTAAAAAAAATGACTAGAATAATAGCAAATTACAAGTTTCTTTTGTGCAAATTTTTTCAAAAAGTAAAAAAAATCTTTTCACATTAGAACTAATTGATGGACAACTTTTTGAAACTATAGAATAATTATTATATTTTGTAGTAACTAATTATCATTTATATATTTTGAGGTTATTTTTTTATATCATTATTCCTTTAAAAAAATATGTGGCATTTCTCATTATGTTAAAAAAAAAAATACGTGCTATAGCTATAGAGAGAGAGAGAGAGAGAGAGAGAGAGAGAGAGAGAGATTCTATTGGTTGGACGGCTTTTCTTCGAAAGTGATGGCACGCCGGCGGGACCACTGCGCAGGACGGCTTCCTCACCCAAGGCTTGTTTCAATTATGAAATTTCAAAGAATAACAAAACTGATTATCACAAGGGAAAAAAATAAAAAGGAATAACAAAAATTATGAAATCTAGCAGTCCTACTTTTGTTTGCCTCTAAGCTAAACTTTCAGACCATTCTGGATTTGCTCACACATCTTGCCACTGTGATACCAGCCATGACTAAAGAAACTTTCAACAGTCACAAGTGAATCAAAATTAGAATACACTATATACTGTTAGGCTTAGGAAATGTATTCAGTCAAGGGGGAAAAAAGGCTTAGGAAATGTATGCATTGCATGGCCTCTGATTCAAGAACATAGTTCCATGATTCTGCAAAACTAGTCCACAACTTTTCTTGTCCATCATCTGGCCACTAGCTGAGAGATTGTTACATCGTTGATCGAAGAAAATCCAATCTTGCACTGACATGTTTCTCCGGCATCTTCACCTTGTTTTACAGAAAAAGCAGGTCTTTTAGGAGTACTAATAGGTGAGGCTTCATTATTCTTGAGATCTGAATAAACTTCTAGCATGGAAGGTCTGTCATTCGGATTCTCCTGGACACACAACAAAGCTACTTGCATGCATCTCATGATTTTACAAGGTGATTCGGTGTCATCCAATGACTGATCGATGAACTCCATCCCTTTGTCTTCTCTCCACAGCTCATATGCCTGAAACACCAGCAAATTTTTATGATTCAATCAAATTACATTATAAATGTTCATATCAAGCAATGGAATCCTAAAATGCTTACTCTCTGTAGTTCTTATTATAAGACATCTTTTAAAAGTTTTGTTTGGTTCTTAACGTAAGATACCTTATAAAACTTGATGAAATATTAATAAGTTATTTCAAAAAATCCCCACATGTCTAATTGATTCATTCAAGTGATATGTTTGACTTTAAGATTTAAAGGTAAAGTTAATAATTTTAATGAAGAGTAATTTGGGATTTCTATAGAAGTTTTTGTAAAAATCAATATTCATAACTAATTTCAACCACCTTTTCTTAATCCATGTGACTTGGTAATAAGAATCAGAGGACAGTATATTGTAACTTACATATTCCAACATATTCAAATTTTCATGTGTGCCATAGTAACATGAGGTCCTTTTTCCACTAATGATTTGCAAGAGAAGAACTCCAAAACTATAGACATCATACTTCATTGAGTATACGCCTCTTCTCACATATTCAGGGGGCACATATCCACTACAGAGAGAGAATAACAAGTAATAAGAGACATGAAAGGACAAGAATCATATGATTAGCCAATTAAATGCCATTTTACTTACTATGTGCCAACAATCCTTCCAGTGTTTGCTTCAAGTTCGTCTTTCTTGAACATTCTAGCCATCCCAAAATCAGATATTTTTGGATTCATTTCATGATCCAACAACACATTACTAGCTTTCAAATCTCGGTGGATTATAGTGAAGTTTGAGTACTCTTGGAGATAAAGAAGACCTTGAGTAACCCCTTCAATGATGTTGACACGTCTTCTCCAGTCCAAAAGAATTGATCTCCTTGGATCTGCATCAAGCTCAATTTCTGAATATTAGCTTCTCAAACGTGTAGCTGAAGAGAAAATTGAATTCCGCAACAATTTCAAATTTAATATTTAACTGAGTTCAGTTGCAGATTGAACCCTCAGCATCAGGCAAACCAATTTTAGCTTGCAAAGCAAAAGTTCAAAACAGATAATAGGGGAAATTTACCGAAGAGGAAATGATCCAAGCTTCTGTTTGGGAGGTATTCATAGATCAGTATTTTCTCATCTCTTTCAGAGCAGTATCCCAGAAGTCTAACTAAATTGACGTGTTGTAGTTTTGCTGTAAGTGAGACCTCATTTGTGAACTCTTCAAGGCCTTGCCTTGAAGTTTTAGAGAGCCGTTTTACTGCAATTTCCTGTCCCTTCCTTAATTTACCCTATCAAAATCAAAACAGCAATCCTTGAGTACTTTCTATTCGAAGTAGACCATGAGAAGCCTATAATAAGGCTTAAGATATTAGTGCAAGCAATAAACTAGTTTGTCACACTTCTACATGATTGCATTCTCACTTCGTGGTGTGGCTATCAATCTTCTTCATCAAGAGGGAGATTGAAAAGACATCTGATATTTAAGGTCCATAAACATTAAGAAAGTGAAAATCAATTTTGAGACAGAGAATAACTAAAAATTCTGTCAACTTTGATTGATCTAGAGAGAAGCAGATATAGAGAGATGGAATATTGATGTTCTCATTAACACATTGATAAACCGATATTTCAATCCCGTAGTTCGCTGCATTATTTTGGTTACAATTGGTGTTAATAATAAGATTAGAGTCATCTTGAGGAATAATGAAACCCAAAGATTAGAACACTTCAATAACTTTATGACTAAACTGTTATCTAATTCATTGAAATTGAAAAATGTGCATAGCTGCAATTTACACTTTCTCTTTTCATATGGTTTCCCTGATAGATGAATATCAAAATGTTACCTTGTATACTGTGCCAAATCCACCCTCTCCAAGCTTATTGTCGTTTGAAAAGTTATGTGTGGCCATTTTAACAGTAGCATACTTTAACACTAGCAGGTCATGAGTACTTTCCTCAAGATTTTTCTCATCTGGTCGTAAATATCTCTTCAGTTTACATATTACTTTTGTAGCAAAAGCTAATTCTCCTGCAGAAGTGGGGGAGACAGGGAGAAAGAGTGTAAATGCGTCACAGGAAACTCAATTATATGGTTCTTTTTCAGTATAAAAAGGGAACTACTTCAGTTACCTCTAGAATAGTAGCAATATATTATTCCCAATAGCAGAATCAGCATGATGGTCAGAGTTGTCGGCAGAACAATTATTAACAGCTTCCTTGTATGATGATCTTCATCTATGTCCAGAGCTGAAAGGATAAAATTCAAAAGACCATGTGTACATTGTCAGCTTGTCCTTCTTTCTCTTAAGTGGTTGCTATTAAAATTTTCCAGCTCAACATATTATTGACTCCTTATGTGGTAACATAATCAATGATCCTTCTAGTAGATGCTTAAAAATCTGCATGTAAATTTTGTTCCTTCATAACGTGGTTCCGACTCAACCCTGTCATTCTTTGTCAAAAAATGCAAACGTCTATAATTAGCTTTGAGGTTAAGGGATAAGAAGGCTACTTGGCATTTTCGCAAGCAATCAGTATTCTAAAATTCCATGCTAGGTATTAGAAATCACTCAACATATGATATCATTCTTCTTGTTTTTTTTTTTTTTTAGGGCAGGTATTAACGGCCTGAGATTACATGATGTAGGATTGAAGCCGCATCACTTACAAGGGAGCTTGCATGCCACTAAGCTACAAGGGCATTGGCACATACGAGATCATTCTAACTCTAGAGTGTGTGTGTATAGCATTACTGCTTAACCTAGTAATGATATTTACTCACCTGCCTTGGAAAGGATCCAATTATCATCATTAGCCACTTGGAAAACAATGTAACCAAGAAGCCCATTTCTCTTGGCATAAGAAACTTTAGCCCGGATTGCCTCTACATCGTCGAAATTAATCCAAGTTGATGCAACTTGGAACTGATTAGCCACAACACTAGAATTATACTGTTCAGAAGATGCCTCCCCAAAGCTCTTTATGTAGCTTTTTATCAACTTGTAACCCACTGAACCATCTTTTGTCAAACCAGGTCCTGATGCTGGCGCTCCCATGGTGCTGTTTGCTGGATTTTGCAGCATCCATGCATACCCGTGATAAGGCAAGCCAATAAGCAGCTTGCTAGATGAAAATCCCCTGCTCTTCCACTCTTTGATACCAGTATCAGTATTATCCCACCCAGATGGGCTGTATAAGGCAGCATGAAAACCTGTAAAATTGTTCTTTGTTGGAAGATAGTAATCATAGGCTACAAATTGCACCCAATCTAAGTTCCTCCGCATTGAATCGAAAGGGTAACTCAAGGATTTTCCGGCGGGAAAGTAGTAACCTTCCATTACCAAGACCAATTCTGGCTTGCTTGAGTTTCTTGCCTCAGAAGTTAAAGCTTCTCGCCATTCCTCCAAGAGGGTTCCTAGATTGTTCAACTCAGAACCAGCACTTGGCCCGACCCCACAAAGGTCTATCCCCTGAAACCCATATAGCCTAGCGGTTCGAATCGATGAATCAATGAAGGATTTTCTATGAGAAGAACTATTTATGATAGAGGAAAAAATTGAAGAGTATTCTCCACCTCCCCGAATGGATATAAGCGTTGTAACAGATGGGTTTTGGAGCTTTACAGTGTGCGTGAAGGTGGAGAACTTTTGCAGGTCAGAAGGTTTGATTGAAATATTGTAATCGGAGGAGCTTAAGTGAGCAAAAGCACAAAGAAGGTGAGTGAAAAGCTTAGATTTTACGTCTGAAATGGGAATTTCACTGCTAATATCGTAAAAAGCAGCTCTCACCCAGGATGACGATGAGGAAGATGGATATGCAGAAGAATGAGAAATGAAAGGAACGTAAAAGAGGAGGAAGAAAAGAAAGAAGGTAGTGAAGTTAGAAGAAGCCATTGAATTGAATAATGAAAATTGAAAAGCATGGCTTCAATTGAATAATGATGAGTTTCTCCTTCTTTTTGGCTTGTTTACGTGTCCTTGTTTGATTGTTGTTTCGTTTGAAAAATGCATTGCAGTCGACGACTCTTTCACGTTTTCCGGGAATGGGTTTCATTTTCCCACGTCGCGAACACTGTAGCTGGGGTTCTAAAGGAAACGTGGCAACTTGTAATAAGTTGACTATGAGGGCCGACAAAAGCAACACTCCCTCTAAACCGTACAATCTATTCATAATTAATTTACAATTCTTAAAAAAAAATTAAGTAAAATTTTAATCTCATAAAAAAAATACATCTTTTCAATTATATTTTTATTAAATATTTTATATAAATATTTTAATAATGATAATTAAAATTTTAATGTATTATTTTTTATAAAATATAATAAATGAGATAAAAATATAGATAAAAAAATAATCATAACAAAAATATTTAACACTTTATATTTTGGATTAAAAAATATTTTTAGCAGATAACTTATATTGTGATTTAAAAAGTATAGTTGAATATCTCACATATCACTAGTGAAACTTGTAATTAAGGCCAAGATGAATAAACTTAAAAAATTGTAAGATCAAATTTGAGAGTTTAAAAAAAAAATTATTTCAGATTTAGAAAAAATTCAGGCCAATCAAATAAGTTAAAAAAAATTTGGGTTAAACTCAAACTCAAATGGACTTGACACAAACATTCAATTTTTTTATTATTAATAAAATAAAATCAAAATAATATAAAAATTAAAAATGGCTAAAAATTAAAATAAATAATATCTAACAATTGAGTTTCAGGCCAATATGAAAAACCAAAGGTGTTAGCCGAGCTAGGTTATTTATGTTATATATATATATATATATATATATATTTTCATGTATATTAGGTTCAATTCAAATAAATCTAACTCTATATTTTGAATCACCCACTTCAGGCTAGAGAGGCCAAGAGTCCAAGGCCCTGCTCGAGAAAAACACTTGCCTTACAATGAATCAGCAAGTAGTGTAACCCCAACCTTTTCCACAATTTAATTTATAATGTTATACTTTAATTAAAGTTGATAATTTAGGTAAGTTGGAGTTACTCAAGTAAAGTTTAATTCAAGCTGACCTAAATAAACTTGAACTTACAAAAAAAAAACAAAATAGTTTAGCCTCAATCTAACTTTTTTTAACTTTGGACAGTTTGAATACTTGAATTATAAAAATAATTCATTTTTAAAAAATTTTAAATTTTTTACTTTAAAATTATTTTTATTTTACTTTAAAATTAATTATTTTTATTGTATAAAATTATAAAATATTCTTTTGGAATATTTAAAAAATTAGAATAAATAAATTGGGTTTTAAAACTCAAAATTAAAATTAAAGTACATTTTAAATATTATTTTAATATATTTTTTATAGATAAAAATATAATAATGTGAACATTTTATTTTGTAAAGAAACTATCTGTAACAATGCACTCAAATATAGAGCCAATAGTTTAGGTGAGCCATGCTTATTTGGGTCAAGCTCAATTTGAACTGGGCTTATTCAGATTAAGTTTAAAATATCTTACCATATAGAAAAAGCCTATTTAATTAAATTCAGCTCTAACCTCTTCAGCTTTTCAAGCTTATTTGGGCTTGCTCGAATATTTAAATTATTAAATATTATTTTATTTTATTTTTTTATCTAATTTCAATTTGTATTTTAAAAAATTAATATTTTCAAATTTTATATTATTTTATTAATATTAAAAAAAGAATGAGTATTTGGGCTAAACCCATTCAGCTTGGGGCTTGATCTAAATTTTTTCGAGTTTATTCAAGTAGCTCAAATAAATTTAGAGTAAAAAAAATCTCATAAACATCCAAGTCTTGCTGTAAGATTTTTTGCGCTGATCTTGTAAAATTTGACCCAAATTACTATCTCTACTCAAATATATGATTTATTAATATTTAATATATTATATATATTTTTAAAAAAGTTATTCAAGCATTTAGATCAAGCTTAAATCCAATCAAGTTTGGCCCAAAGTTTTTTGAACCTATTTAGGCAAACTTGAACATTAAAAAGAAATATTATTTTATTAAACTCAGTCTTAATTTTTTTAATATTATGAGTTTGACTTGAATTATCAATTTTATCTTTAATCAACAAGGATTGATTAGTTCCTTTCAACTTTTTTTAAAGACGTTATTAGTATTACTGACTCCTCAACCGGAAAAGTGCATGAACTACCAAGTCTGTTTTACATTTTTAATCATTTCTCACCTTTTATTTGGAATACAATGTCACAGAAACCGTGTGAGTGAAGAGGATTAGGTTAAATCTAAACTTATAAGGAGTTGACGTTTTGTGGGGGGATTTTTTTTTTTTTTTAAGTCTCATTCCTCACCTTTTGTCATAAGGCGGTGATTGATACTGATTTGCCACTTTCTGTGGGTTGTCTTTCCTCATTTTCTTCACAGTTTTGAATGAATTTTTCTCTACTTAAAAAAAATGAAAAAAAAAAACGAAGACAGTAGCGTTCAGAAGCATTACGAATTAACAAAAATATTAAGTAAATATTAATTTATTAATGTTATAAAAATATTTTTTTCTGTTTCTTAAAAAATTACACTTGTTAATCTGATTTAATTTGTTTTTCTGTAAATGAAATTTTTTTCTTGCAAATTAATTTTTCAAACAACAATAGAACTCCTTCTAAATCATTACGACACATTATAAGTTATAAATTATAAATACAATTAAACCTCCACCACAAACATAACAACAAAGTTTAATCCAAACATAATTGTTCAAAGATACCAGTTATTAAGATAAACCAATTTTCTAAAAGTATATGAAATGGTTAAAATTTGCTTATGTTTAAAGAAAGAGGGATTACTAGATCACATAAGTACTATTCTTTAAGGTCTCCAAATGTTATCATACATATTACAAAACATCAAGAGAGAAAGACAAATAAATCACATTAAAAAAAAACAAATGATAAATAAGTATAATGAAATGGAGAAATTAGTTTGAAGTTTCTGAGGACTAATTTGACTTTTTTGTGAAATTACTTTTTTGACCCTCAGTAAATAATAAAAAGTGTAATTATTAACACCTAAACTAAAATTAATAATGAAAGTAAAGTTGTTAATATATATAAGAAGTATGGTTATTAGTTTAATGATGCAATAACAAATACGTTTCTTATTAGAACACCTTCAGCTTAATAATGAACAATTTTAGTTTAATTATTAACAACACAGTTAATCATAAATTCAGTTTAGTCATGCAATAAAAATTATGTTTCTTACATTAATAACTTTACTTTCATTGTTAATTTTTATTTAGATTTTAATAACTTCACTTTCTATGATTTTGTAGAAGGTCAGAAATGTATTTTGGCAAAAAAAAAAGGTCACTTTTATGTGACAAACAAGTATTCAAAGGACTTCAAAATAATTATTTCATTTCGTGATACTATTTATCACTTATTTGTTTATTTTAGAGTTATTTATTTGTCATTTCCTCAAAGATCAACGTTTTACTAAACTTTTATTTTCTAATTCAATTATCTGATCAGAGTCAAGGCATAGAAATCAAAGATTCACGGACTTGCGCATGTTTTAACAGAACAATATTAAGCAGAAGACTGGAAGAGAGAAGTCGTCGGCGACAGTGTCACATTTGGATTAAACAATTAAATATTTGAATTAAACTATTTTCAGCCAAGTGAAGAAGACCGGAGGTGGAAAAGGGGGTAGACATCAAGCAATAAAATATTTTTTAAAAAAATATATATAAACGGGCTAGGATTTTTTTGGTTAATAAGATAATTTATATTAATCAAAGAGTGACATTACAAGGTAAGGGTGGAATCAGAAACTATCATAAGTTCCGTTTGGTTATTAATGAAATGAATTTAAAAAATAAAGATAAAAATGAGATGATCAAGAAGATAGTAAACCACATTCATGAGGAAGAGGGATAATTTAATTTATAAAGTTAGAAATCATAATTCATAAAATTTTTAAAAGATGTGATAAATTTTACGTTTGAAGTATATATTAATGAAGCGAAATGGTGATTTAATTCATTTTTGTATTAATTTTTATAATTCATTCCATTCTATTTTTTTCTAATATGCAAATGGGACCATAAGAAGAAATTACTGAAAACAAACAGCCATAAAGAAAGGTGTCCTAGTCTTTTTTGAATGAGTGGCTTTCATTATTTGTATAAGCCATAGAGAAGAAGTCAGTGGGATTAATGTCATCAATTTTAAGTGAAAGAGCACCGAACCAAACAGTCCTTGCAAAAAGGATAATGAATGAACAAGTGATTTAACGATTCCAAGGGGGCAGCCGAGAGGGCAACAATTGCAATTGTCAAGGTGGTGAAGATTCATGATGTCACCAGATGGAATACGTTTGTGGACAAGCTTATAAGCGAAGAGAATAAATTTAGCAGGTAAGTGATGTTTCTGTAGGCGTTTTCAATTGAGATTCAAGGAATTTGGATTGCATGAATAGGCACCTCACTCTTGTAACGAGCTTAGGTGTGGAGTAACCTATAACGAGCTTGAGTTAGACAGTGCAGGTCCAAACAAGTTGGCATTTAATTAAATTTCAAATTATGCAACCCAACCCACCACTCTTTGGGAGGTTGGCAAGTTGGACACATGACTCCAAATCATATTATCGGCTCTTACATGATAGTTTATGATATAAAATATATAGAGCTCTTTTAGGTGGAATTTGCTACAACTAATAAATAAATTATTAAAATATATTTTTAACAATAAAATAAAATAATTAAAAGTTATAAAATATAATTGAATAAGCAATTACAAAATACACTTTTAACAGTAAAAAATAAATAATTAAATTTTTTTATTTCTCTTATATCTAATGATTTTGAAGGTTGAGATAAAAAAAAACTTGTTTAATCAAAAATATAAATGACAGCATGTTTTATTTTAAATATGTTACTTGTAACATCT